GATACTTTTGTTTCCGCTTTTCTTTCTGATTGATTTGGTATTTGTGCATCACGCAGGAATTCCATGGGCAGCCTCCATTTTCTTTTACCCATTTAGTGCTTTAACCGCTAGATTTGGTTTGGTCATACAGGAAACAAAGGAGTGGGTGGGACCACATTGGGGGAGTGAAGTGAAAGATTTTACAGGAACCGACACCAGAGATTGGCAGTACGTTTTGCTTATAACCTGAGAATGGGTTCCCGAATTATCAGCCCAGGTTTCAGTAACTATGAACTGCCATCGTTGGCTGGGTGACTGCATTTCCAAGTACTGCATTTCTGTGTTTACGGAAGCCCACACCTGAAGAGGTAAAAACAGGAACAAATCGCAACATAACTGAGTCCCAAACAGACCTTTTGACCTGTGGTTCAATTGGCCGGAGCAGTTGTTGCAAGGCTTATTCCAAAAACATAATGAGGGAGTGAAAAAGAAATCATTTAGGGGGAGGTTTTAGTTAGGCGGAGTGAAGTTGGGCCAAGGAGGTTAGAAGTTTACTTGTTTTAAGTGGGTTTGGGTTCCAGGGGTGCTTGCTTGACCCGCGTCAGATGATACCACCCCGTCAGCTATATCAGTTTTGACTGCCGTTGGGGTAGTGAGTATTACGGTGTATACTTCTTTGCACTGTGGCTGGCACGGGGAGAGGTTAGGGGTTGGGTGCCCAGAAGAGGTGTTTTTTACATCCAGGAGGTGTTGGTCTGCGTAGGACCTGACTAAATTGCGGAGCAAAGATAGAGTGGGTAAGTAGGTAAGTAAGCTGAAAGCAGAGTTTCATCCTGAGGCAGAGAATAATTTAGGACAAATGGACAGCTGTATAGAATTTTAAACAGCTGAGACCCGTGGCCTCCCTGGGGGAAGCCCAGAGGTGGGTTTAGGCAACAGGATGGAGATCTGGCCAAGAGAGGCGGACGTTTAAGGAGAGCTTAGTTAACTGGGACTTCATAAGTTGTTGGCTCACTTAACCTTGCCTGACGACGGGGAGCAATAAGGAATATGTAACTTCCAATTTACTCCCAGGGTGGCTGATACCTGTTGGGACACCTGCGAAATGAAGGCTGAGCCATTGTCAGACAGGATAGCGTGTAGAAGGCTAAATCTAGGGATTATATATTTTTTTCTTTTTGCTCCGTCCCCGCCCCTACCCCGCTCCGCCCCGCCCACTGAGTGTCGGATTATAGATTTTAGGAGAGTTTGAGTGACAACATTTGCTGTCTCCTGGCTGATAGGGAATGGTTTAATCCACCCTGAAAAGGTATCCACCAAAGTTCACAATTATTTAAGATGTTTCTGTTTAGGCATGTGCATAAAATCAATTGCCCAGTCCTCACCGGGGAGGTGCCCACGGAATTGGTGGAGGTTTCTTGGAGGCTAAATATTGTTCTGGGAGGAGCGTCTGGATTCAGCTTGCCAACTTTACTTGCCTACATTGTTTTAAGCATGCCAGAGGCTGTTTACCTTGGAGACCTTGGATTTGGGTACGGTCCAGCATGAGATTTAAACTCTTTTCCCCGGATTTTAAGGGCCAACGAGAGCCCGCCGACGGAACCGCAACCCTTTTTAAGGCGCTTTTCCATTTGGGACAGGTCTTGGAGAGAAAACTGAACGTGGACCCGCAGCACACCCTTACATTCTCCTCTGTCCGTACCCCTCTGCCGTTTGAGAC